TGAGGGTAGGAGTGGGAGATGTCCTAAACATAACAAGGACACTAAAGAAAAGGGGAGCAACTCAGCTGAAACCAACTCTGAATCTTTATTTCTTGTCTCAACACCTGGACTCTGTTTTGTCTCTCAAAGCAGAACAAGCCAAATCTCCTGAACAAAGTGTGAACAGACAAATTAACTAATTCTGTTTGCATTAACCATCAGACCTAGGATTCAATTTCAAGTGATTCATAGCATCATAGTGAGATACGCTGATGAAGTGATTGGCTGGATCTATTTCCTCGCCTGGTCTATCTCCTTTTATCCTCAACTCTTTGAGAACTGGCGACGAAAAAGGTAAAGAGACTTAAGATGTGTTTGCAAGTCACTTAAGCACTTCTGCAAATCATGTTCCTAGCTTCAGTTACATGTGTCTTGGTTATCGTGAATTATGCATGGAAAGACTGGGGAAAAAAGCAAGGCAAAGATAGGGCCTGAATAAATGTGGCCCCAGTGAGCTTTTATGCATGCAGGTCAGAGGAAACTAAGTGCATCCTACGGACACCTAATCCTAAGGTTTGGCATCCATTACTAATTTGTGATAGAGGAGGCTTCCCCACTCCCTTTGGTGTCGTGTTCTAGATCATCCGGCCAAGTAAATTGTGGTGACCACCTTCAAAGATTACTTACCTTGTGAGCTGTTTATTAGACAGCTCCTTGTAGTGTAATCACTAGGCTAGCTCCCCTTAAACTAAGGGACTGTAAATAGAAACATTATTATATATGAAAACTAAAGCATTTGTTTTGGCAAAGATGCACTACTGCTTCTGTGGATGCAGGCTGGAATGGTTTTATCAGACCAGCTGAGCTCATGGAGGGGTGAAGTTAAACAGCAGGGACGCAACCTGGTCAGTGAGAGCTGTTGTGAGTACCAGTGCATGGCATATGAGGGATATTTCACCTTGCTTCCTGATAAACTCACAGCATCATGTTGTCACAATGCCTGCAGCTTTGGCTTACTTCAAAAATTGCCTATAAATCAGTACATTCTAGGGTCAAGTTGTGCCTGGAACTGCCTGTAATGCTCTGATGCATATTTCTCATATTTTCTTTTCCCCATCCCCCCCTCCTTCTCTAGTGTTGTTGGACTAAGCTTTGACTTTATAGCATTAAACCTTACTGGCTTTATAGCATACAGTGTGTTTAACGTCGGACTCTTCTGGATTCCCTTGATTAAGGTAAGCATGATTGTCTCTTAATACTTGCTGGTGGGTGGGTATCTACAGAAGGGAGTTAAGGCATTTGGCTGGTTTTGGTTTCTCTTACATTTAGGAGGAATTCTTAGTCAGTTATCCCAGTGGGGTGAACCCTGTGGCTATCAATGATGTTTTCTTCAGTCTCCACGCGGTAACTCTAACTCTCCTCACCGTAATTCAGTGCTGCATCTATGAGGTAAGTCTTGATGCTGGGCTGACCTGTCAGCTCTGGCAGAGCTCCCTCTGCCGACACCTCACCACTCACTGTCCACTCCTTCTGGGCTCCAAAGTCCTCTTCGTTGCACTTTCATTGGCCTTGATAGAAGTCAGGCTTCACAATCCAGCTGCCTTTATCTTTCCTGAGCCTGTAGCAACTCCAGTATCTACTGGAGCCTCGTGGATGTTCTGAGCTTGTAAGTAAACTCCTTAGGGACTCAAAATAACTAAGGCAAACAGCCAAGTTCATAAAGTTCCCAAACAGATCTCTAGCTAGCACATAGATTACAGCTCTACACAGTACAAATGCTGGTATGTGCTCTGCTGTTTTCTCACTACTTGGAGCATTCTTCAAGCTAGGACAGGTCCTCAGGGATTCCCTGCAATTCAAACTTCCAGATTTTTTTCAACCTCTCCTAAAACAGCTGCAAAGGCCCTTTTATAATTCCCACCCTTTTCAGGTGAGACTGATTGTTACAGTCAGGTGGCTCTCTATTTAATTCCCATTGTAAAAGCCTCTGATCTGAACAGCCAATTTTCTCTAGATAGTAACTGTTTCTCTCTTGGGGTGCTTCCTTTGGTGATGCTAAACCTAAAAGTGTAACAGCCCGTTTGTCACCACTGCTAGGTGCAATAATCATTTCTAGTGAAGAATTAGAAGGCAACCGTGAATCTTTTACCATAATGGCATTAGCAGCCTTTTGCATGTATAGGAACTCTTGATATAGTCAGATTGAACTCAGGAGATTGTTACAGGTGTGGCACTGATAATAGGCATCATAAATACTCATGAATACTGCCACAATATTGTTTCCCACTTGCTCATGGACAACAGTGTTCCAAATGATTGATGGTGAATATTGCTCATCAGCTCTTGCAAACCTACAGCTGGTTGCTGTAGCACTCACTCAATCTTAAAATTCCCTTGTGGTATGAGCCTAACTGGTACAAAAACTTGTTTGGACTGTAACCTTGCATAGTCCTGAGCATATTCTATACCTTACAGTGTGTCTGGGGATGTATGACCTAGGTCAGTCTAAGTGTATCTGCACTTCTGTTTCAGAGAGCAGGTCAGAAAGTATCCAAAGTTGTTGTTGGACTACTGGCACTTGCATGGATCTTCACATTTACAACGCTGTTTCTTGCTGCAGCTGAGGAAATGACATGGCTACAGTTCTTATTCTGCTTCTCTTACATTAAGTTAGCAGTCACACTGATAAAATACTTCCCACAGGTAAATCTGAACTTTTCTGCTTTTATATTATATTCCTGCCACCCTAAGCCTGTAGTGTATGCTCTTGAAAGTCTGACTAGACTAAACCAGCAATGATTATTTAAGTCTTTTAGTGACAAAAATAGTGTAGTTATACAGAAGGCTTCTTAAATGTTAATCTCAGAAATGCTTATACATGACATGCTGACCGACTTCTTGTTACACTCAGGCATACATGAATTTCCGTCGGAAGAGTACTGAGGGATGGAGTATTGGAAATGTATTACTAGATTTCACTGGTGGAAGCTTCAGCCTTCTCCAGATGTTTTTGCAGTCATACAACAATGGTAAGGCTGGAACTGAGGTGGCGGGGCCTTTCTTAATGGGGTGGGAGAATCCTGCTACAGAGCAGATATAAACCAGTAGGTTATCTTGGGAGAATGATGTTTGTGCTATAGTACGAGTAGCTGTTCTTATTCTAAGAATAAAGAATCTGTTCATATTCCTTCAAGACAGAAAATGAAATAGCTGTTCTGAAGAAACCCCAGGAACAGTTATTAATTAGCTTTGCATAAGATAAGATGTACACTAGAGACAGTCTTAAGGTGTGTCTAAGCAGTCCAGGTAATAAACATGAACTTCTCTAATATGTATGGCATGATCTTATAGTCTTGAGACAAGACTACACTTGAGGAGTTAAGTCTTAATTCTCTAATTTTGTGTTTGACAGATCAGTGGAAGTTAATCTTTGGAGATCCAACCAAGTTTGGCCTGGGTGTCTTCTCTGTCATCTTTGATATTGTTTTTATGGTCCAGCACTACTGCCTTTATAGGAGGCGAGGGTATGAACCTTGTGAATAACATCACTTGTGAAGACAAAAACTTTAAATTGAACTTTCCCCTACCCTGGCTGAGGGCTTTCAAGATGCCTACTGCCAGTTACCAGAAATACTGATTTTGAGCTCTGTTTTATACTCTGATCCTCTCTGGTGTGGAATACAAGCTGTTGCCTTGCCAAATGCTGATTGCCAGATGCCTTAAAGGACAGCAAGCTATCTAGCCACCACTTGCAAATGGAAGACTCATGCCTGTTGAAGCTGCAAAGACAGCTTAGTGTGAGCTGTCCAAGCAACATGTGGCTCTTTTTCCATTAACAACAGGAAGGAGAAAGACCAGAGTCATGTCTTTCTGATTGGAAGTGAAGCACAAAGAACAGAGTTCTGGCCTCCAAAAACCTGAGATCACAACCACTTAAGATATTAATGTAATGACTGAAGACTGTCTCTGGATCTAAGTGCTGCTGCCAACTCCTCACAGACAGATCACAGACCACCACCACTCAGGCTGGCTGTTAACAGCTGTAGCGCAGTACATAAAAGAATGAGGTTGGTAGCAAATACACAGATGTTAAAACCTGAACTCTTTATTAAAAAAACTGAAAAGTAGAAACTGTATTCTTATTTCACTGAAAGCTCTTTCAAAGATGCTAAGATAAATGCTCAGATTTATCTGAACACGTCTAGCACACTAACTTCACTTTGCTCAGTTCTACTGACATGCCTTGAATCCTAAATGGTGGATGGTAACGATTAAAGATTTATCAGAGATATTATTTTTAAGTGTATCATGTTAATTAATAGCCCCATGATTAAGGTTTAAACATATGTTTTTGTTCCTGGGCAACTTTCTAACTACACGAGGTATGTTCTAGGTAGAGATCAAGGTCTTGAGTTACTTGAAGGTAAGCATTATACCCTTTAAAAGAACTAGAAAGGAATCCATGCATTTGTACTTGAACAATACTTGAATGCTCAAAGGCTACTATGTCTTACTAAGTGTCAACCTAAGGAAAACTAGAACCCCTTCTCTGCCCTGCTAGAGACCAGGTGAGGTTTGACAGCTCACTAACACTGCAAAGACCCACCAGTGAAATCAGACCTTACTAACCTCAGACTGCATTGTGTTGATGTAGTCCACAACCCACTTCGAGCCAGAAAAGAGGTGTCAGCTGGAGGCATTCAAGAGATGTGGCATTCTTAAACAAAAGGAGAACCAGCTCAGGAAATCCAACTTTGTTTTATTGTGTGTAAAATCAAGTGAAATAGCAGTACAAATAGCAGTGTGTCTTCATAGTAACAAAAATAACTTCAACTTGAAAGCCTTAAAATTTACCACTGAATTCTTAAGTTACAAAATTCAAAAGCAGTATTGTAATAATTCCATAGATAAAAAATGGCAAATAGGCATCTGCTGGTGCATACAGAACAGTCTGAGATGCATTAGTCACAGCATACATACATGGCACAGCAGTAATGTACTGAATAAGTTAGTCTGCCACCTCCTCATGTTCTATTTACAACAGCTTACCTGAAGACTGCTTAAGGAAAGTATAGATATGTATAAATCAACTGAAAGGGATTAAGAACCCAGTTTTTGGATAATTGTAAAGCTAGCTGGTTAACAAATCACTAGGAGGCTAGGTAATTAACTTAGTGTTGCAGGAAGAATCTGAAATCCTGTGGCATGTTGATTTAAACAACTTAGTATCTTACCAGAAGCTTAAATTTGGTCAAGAGGCACTTTTGGAAATTACTGGCATATTCATCTCTTCCATCCAATAAATCAGTGATTTAAGCAAAGTCTTCTAGAAGACAGACCAAAATCCACCCCTCCCATTTCAAGTCTGATAGAAGCGGAATGAAGACCTGAAGACTCTACAGCTACGAGCAGCTCTTTTGGTAAGTTCAGCAACAGTGTTTTCTTTCCTGCTCCATATTCCTTTCATTTAAACTTGATTCATTTGATGTTACAAATTACTTGGGAACAAGGAGAATTAAGGTTTTACTCTGACAGTGAAGTTGAACTGTAGTGTCTATGAACTTTTAGTGTACTTCACGGGCATTAATCTAACACTTCTGTGTTACTTAGTTGTTTCTTGTCTGAGAAGAGGCTGCTTTGTAGTAAGTGTCTTTGCAGTAAACCATAATGCCCCAAACCCTTCAGCATACTCTGTCTAGCTAGCACGCAATGTGGGATTAGTACAGTGCTCCTCCCCACAGCAGTGTGCAACTCTTAACTCTGGCATTTTAATTTGATAGCATGGGGGGACAGGACAGCTTGCTTCTAAAAGCTTAAGCGCAGCATTATCTTCCATAGCAGAAACCACATTTCCTCTTAAAACAGGAAGCTTTTGTGCTACAAAAGAATCCTGTCAAAGTTAAGGCTTTTCCAATTGCTTCCTTAGATAACTAGGGTTTCTCCTGTCCTGAAAGCCACGACTACAATAAAGTCTTACCATGTACCTGCAGGGAAGACTTTAGAGAAGCACTCTGCTGAGGGGACTAGAGTTTTACTACTGCCAGTTCCACCAGAGGAAGGAAAAAAGTGTTTACCACAGTTAGGAACATGCACTCCTTTCAGCCAACCTGTTCAGGTCTAGTATTTGCTTCCTTGCTTGATATCAGTCTATGTATCTCCCTCCCCAACCCTTCCCCAACTTGATGATCGATTAGGACATCATGGATTGTTGCACAGCCTTCTGCAGAGATTGCCTGGTCACCAGCAGCCGTACCACTTCTTCGTTCCTCTTTGTCAGCCTCTTCCTAGCTTGGTCATGGGTCACCATTGTCATATCCCAGCCATTCACCTAGGGGAAAAAAAAACATGAAATGAGGCAGGTGCATGGACTCACAGGTGTCCTATAACTGTTCTATCAGAACTATGTAGCAGATAGGCTTATGCCACAGCTCAGTTTATTTATAAGCCCCACAAACTGCCCTGGGAAGTACCCAGAAGACAGTATTTCCCCCAGCAGAAACACCCCTGTAGTGTGCACTTAGTACTACATTAGTACTTGTCTTATCTTGGTGTTTACCTGCATGATCTTATCTCCAATCTGAAGTCCTGCAACTTCTGCTGGGCCTCCTTCTGTCACCCTTGTTACATAGATACCCTGGGAAAAAAATTAAGTGTCCATTTACTAAATATGAGAGCATTAATTACTCAAGGGCCATCCTACCGACAATGCAAGAATACTTTGTAGTATATTACAGGGTTCTAGTTAAAAACAGGTTTGTGCAATGTTGGAAAATAGAAAAGGCAGAGAGCTAACTTAAACCAGGCTTAGTCTGCAAATGGTAATGTGGCAACAGAGTAACCTTAGCAGTCAACTATGTGAGTGGACAGAATATGGATGCAAGTGAGTAGAGCTTGCTGGGCAAGTTGGATATGCTCAGCCTTTTGCAGAGATAGTTGCTGCAGAAAACAAAGAGCATCTGACCTTGTCAGTCTTGTCTTCAGAGAAAGGATTCTGAGTGGGATCCTGATCAATGCCACCTCCAATGCTGAATCCCAGAATCAAATTGTCACCTTGACGAAGCTTATGTATTTCAATTCTTTGCTGGAAAAAAAGAACCAAGTATTGTGATCACTGGAAGAAATCTCAAGTGTGCTTCAGACACAGATACTTAAGACCAAGTTAGATTGCCTTTCCCAGAGATACCATAAACCTACTAGAGCAGGCTGTGTCGCAGCTTGGTTAAGCTTACATATTGTAAACGGACAGCTCTAAACCCCCTTGGCAGCATGGAACTATCACACAGCACTTGCTGTCTGTCAGTCACACGCAACCTCGGTGTTGACAACAATTGGCTCCGCACTGTTGTCAGCCCTACCACAAGATAGCAGGACAGCAAGCCATCTGCAAGCTCATGCCATGATACAGCCAAGCTCCTTAACTGCTCAGTGCTTTACCACTGCCTGGAGATACAGGGGGAAAACACTAAAAACAGAGCAGGTCTCTTCAAACATGAGTCACATCTTGCTAAATAGCAGTCACTCATAGCTAGACTCATCCTGCTCTTTATCCATGTGCCCTGTGCTCCTGCCTAGCCTTATCAGTGGAAATAACAACCTATTATTAGGATGGTTCTTTTTTAAAAAAAAGTTATCGACACACTTTTGTAATCCAGAGACAGGTTCCTTGCTGTCTGATGAACGCAGGCATCTGACAAGCTGTACTCATTACCTAAGTGCTGTATAAATGCCAGCCTGTGCAATTCTTGAGCTGAGATAAAAAGCCCCAGTCTTAACTGAAACAATAACCACCCAAAAGGTGGGTGGTCGAACGGCCCTGTCAGACACTGAGCTTCCCAAAGGCGCTGGGCTCAGGCCCTCACTAGGATACGGACCGCGGTCGCACCAGGACAGCTTCCATACCCTCAGGGTTGTCTGCTCTTACACAGCTGGGAGTGGCGCAGCATACTTCAGCCGGGTTAACCCAAAGCACGGTCAAATTTCGCATTCTAACTAGCGGAAGAAACAACAGCGACCCTTGCTCGCACTGTTTGTTGCTTGAGGCAACTAGTATACTTTAAAAGCCCTACTTCTTAAACCCCACCTAGGCAAAGCCCGGTGCTTATCCTGCCTAGGTCGCGCAGTTGCCGGCAGCGGAGGCGCTGGGGCGGGCCCGCCGCCTCGCCGCCGGAGCGATGGAGAGGGTCGGCCTGTCCCCAGGACCCTCCGCACAAAAGCGAACGGCTTTCTCCGCGGGGCTCCGGCGGCGGCGGACTTATTCCTTCTTTTCTCAAGCAAAGCCTGAACTGGAGGCGGCGGCGGCGGCC